TTTACGTTTTGGTAATTGAGTCAATTTGGTTAATTTTGGCAAGAAATCACTGATGTGAATGTCAGCCGTCCTAAGTGCATAGCCGACGCTGACGTTGACCAATTTTAATATTTTTCGATTTATTTATTTATTTTCTTTTTTTTTCCTTTTCTTTTCTTTGTTTTTTTTTTACATCTTTGGCCTGCGAGGTCCTCCGTGCCCTCACCAAGATCGAGGCAAGGGTCTCGCGGTCCACGCCCAAACCAGGCTAGGGCTACGACGCCATTGCCTAGACCAGGCGAAGGTCATCGATCCTCACTTGTGGCCTGTGATGGTCGACCACCTACCTCGTTGGCCAGAGTCGTAAAAAAGAACAAAGAAATAATAAGACGAAAAAGAGAATAAAAAATAAAAAATATTTTGAAAAAGTATTATTAAAATTTGTCCAAATCAGCGTTGACTGTGCTATGTAAGACAATTGACATCCACTCCAGCGATTTCCGGCTAAAATTGACTGGATGGACTCAATTGGCAAAATGTCAAAAAGTTAATGATTCAATTGGCAAAATTAAAAGTTTTAGGACTGAATTGGCAAAAATGCAATATGTTTAAGAGTTTTTGGACGATTTTCCCAGCGATTAACATATCTTAATTGGCATATAACTCATCTCTTAAGCTTTCAAATGAAGATGGGTTTAATTGAATATATTAACGGGGTCGGACTTGAAGTCTCTCTTTATAGTGTCCTTGACCCGACCAATGGTATTAGAGTTGTTGGGTTGGATGGGCTGGGTCCAACGTATGTGGATTGGTAACTGGCTAATATCTTAAGGAAAGAATCTCATATTAAACTTCCCAATAGGGGTGGCGGGTGGTGTCTCCTGACTTCTCACGAAACTTGGCCGGGCTAAGACGATTGAGGTAAACTATGAAGAGCAGATGTTGTTCCTCCGGCCAAGGTGGATATTCAAGTTGAGATATTGCTTGTGCGAAAGAATATTTGGATTAAGAGGGAGCAGGCCTAAAGTAGGAGGCTCACACATGAGCGAAGAGTTTGTTGAGTTGCACTTGTGGAGGTGTTAGGTAAAAAGAAGTCCCACATTGGAGATGTGTAACGTGAAACAATTAACATATCTAATTGACTATAACTCATCGGTTTAAATTTTTGAAGGAATATGAGTCTAATTGGATATATTGACATGTGTAGATTTAAGTTCCCTCTTAAGAATGTTTCTAAGCGAAGGTATTGAAGAACATGGGGGCTGAGTGTGTATATAGATTGGATTCAATAGAATTGAATATAACATAACACAAAATAACTTCAGTCAGGATACATATAAAAACATAATTACAGAAAGACCATATACATACAAATTACACATTAATATTATGTATCCGGAAAATTAGATGCTCTTCACATCAGTTATGATAATCTTCTAAACATTTGCCTTCTAGGAAGCCAAAGCAAGAGTCGCTTGGATAGTCATTAGGAGACAAGATTTGCCCGCATATTTTATTCAATAAACCATCGTTTACTTTGGTTACAACAAATCATAAACAACTGAGAACATGACAGAGATTGAACGACAATTCGCTTATGAAAAGAAAGAGTAACCTACCAAAAAGACGAAAAGAATATCATCTACAGATTCAATTCGAACCTCCTTAATTAGTTCGCTCGTTTACAGTCGCATCGAACTTGGCCTCGTTCACCAGTCAAAAGCTTTATATTTCCCATCTTAACCATGGATTTTGCAAAATCTCTCCGAAACCTCTCGCCGTCTTCGCTGTAAGACTTCACAAGCTTGGCAGCACGGGGATTGCTGAGAAGCGCCTGATCAGAATGGAGATGCCCTTTCTGCAGTAACAAGTTCTTGTAGTACAAAGTATCGAAGACAGCAGGAGTTTGATCCAAAGCAGCGAGCCTAGGGTAGGATTCGTTGCTTGGAAGGGGCGGGCAAAACGACCGAAGGCTGTGCGAAGGTCGGGTCAATATTTGTGTCGCTATAGATGCTACTCCTGAATATTGCACACTGCGCATAGCCTAGTGTGTGTGCGCCGGACAGGACTACCAAATCATTAATGTCGAGTCTTTGGTTTATGAAGGACTCGGTTATGTTAGAGATGTCGGTGAAAGGCGAAGGAAGATACGCTTGAGCATCACATTTGCTCGCTCTGGTTGAGTCTCTTCTTCCAAGTCGAACTTGCCACCACGGTCCTCCTAGCTGCATTGGAATATTAATAAATTATTCCAACATATTTGATGTCTCTTATTCATCTGTAGTAATTAGTCCTTTCTTTAGAAGTTGGACAATAATGCAACTAATTAATACGTACCATTGCGACAGAGTCTCGGTCAGCGACGGCCAAGATGTCTGTGCAAGAGACCACAGGGCCTCCACAAGCTTCATCAACCGCTGCCTTGATCTGGTCGATTACTTCGAATCTAACTGAATTTATATTAGGAATGGCAAGCTTTTCGCTAGCAAAGGAAGGCGTAGAGTCCAAAAGAATTGACGCGTCGCATCCCTGTATTATCATTTATCCAGGAACTCATTAAGCATGCACATAACAAAAGCAAATAAAATGCAGTGCAAGAAATATGCATAGACATCTCAGTACATTGACAAAGCAGTCGTGGAAGTGCAGACGGAGTAAAGAAGCACCCATGCGGGGATCTTTCTGGATAGCGGCCTCCACCACCCATTCGATCGCTGGCAAAGCTTGAGGACAAACCGCGTCATAGAAACCAGGCGTGAGCTCGGCTTGGGGAATAATGGCGAAAGCTGTGGTCGCGAGAGTTAACAAGAAAAATGCGTGGACACAGTTGAATCTAACTGGAGCCATATTTCGCTATATGTTTTGATTGACGGCAGTGACTATGAAGTGGCAAAGAGAGTTGCTGATTGCAAGAGTTCGTTTCGCAGGTTTTGTGGAGATTCAGGTCCGCAGAGAATCTGTATATATAGCAAGTGGAAGAAGCTTCGACTGTGTTGTCTGGCCATGGTCTTGTTTGGACTTGGCCACCAAGACCGTGTTGTTGAAGATTTCACTCCTATAGGAGCTTCATATAGTATTAACATTCTGACTTTCTGGTGTGACGTTACTTAAGTTTGAAACAATTAAGAAGAGAACTAGTCATGAGAGCTTTGAAGGCATCACTTTATAATCCGTAAAATAACTGTTAATCTAGTTCTTTTCATTCTTTTTTTATTTGGGCGGGAGTTTCTATCTGTTGAGGAAGGCACATCGTCGACATTATTAATTGCTCCAAACATAATTGCAAGAACAAAATTCCCAAATAGTCATCAGACAAAAAAAATCCCCAAATCAAATTCAAAAAGCCACGACCTTATCTCTTATATCAATTGTTATGAAATAATGTGGAAGATGATGGATCTTGCAACTCAAGTTTACAATGAGGAGATGAAATTACCATAGAAATCAATGAAGAAGGATAAAGAACAACAGAAGTTTCGAGTGTGGATACCTACTCCACGGAGAAAGCCAGAAGTCAAGAAATCCTTTTTAAATTTGGAGAATACGAAGTGTACCCTAGCCCAATTGCTCAAGTGTTTTCCAACCCTAGATTACACGTAAGGCTGACTCACTTTGAAAACTCACGGGAAAAAAATCCCAACAATCCTCTCATTTGCCATAATGTGTAATAATAATTGAGTAGAATGTCATCTTTTATATGATCTTCCTATCGAAAATAAGAAACTCTTTTTAGAAAACCTACTAAAATTAGGAAACTGTTCAAATTAGGAATCACTCAAAACTAGGAAACTTACTTAGTTTTTTTTTTTTTTTATGGGCTCAAATTGGAGACATATTCTAACAATCTCGGATCTCAAAATTCATCTTTTTCAGGGTTTCGGACCACTTTTCGATTCTCAGTTCTGTTTTCTGCATTTACTTAGTTTTGCGCCTATGCCTGTGCTTATTTGCAGATAAGAGTGTTCGCGCTTTATCATTTCTGCTGGGTCAAACATTTCTACACGAACATCACCAACCTCTAAGTCTGCTGAGTAATATGATTCCTTGATTCGGCCGTGTTACGAGGACCTAGTCTTACGTGAGTTGACCTAGCACCTGATCATCTCTGTGCAAGAGATCCCCCTCAAGTCGAACAAGGTCCGGTTGGTTCTCAAAGCATGAGGTATGATGGAAGCAATAGTTTCTCCCACGTATCGAACTTGTTTTCGTTTAAATTTATTTTCACATAATGAATAAGTGGAATCAGAAAGTTTAAAGAAGCTCGTCGACCCCTTGAGTTTTTTTTTTTGGTTTGCCAAGTGTATACCTAGACTTTTGGAACTCCTTTACGAGTAGCTTGGCGGCACCTGAGGAAACTTCATAAACTCATAAACCCCTCTCTATCCGGAAGAGGGGAGTTCCACTCTCCACCTCCCTATTCCCATGTGGGAACGGTGGCTAATCGGGCCAGCCCCCATGGGTTAACCCTTTGCCAGCGTCTTAATTCTGCCAACTAATATATGAAATTGACTCACTTGAGTTTATACTTTGGTAGCGCTTACGTGGCATCGTTCTTTGTGGAGGATACAGGAAAACCGTTATTAAGATAATTAAGTCCCAAGTTATACTCTAGTATAGCTTATGAGACTAGCTACTTCGAAATTATTTGCATCACAACCGCATGAAACATTGAGGAATAATGTACCCGGAAAATTTAGATGCTCTTTATATCAGTTATGATAATCATCCAAACACGATTGCCTTCTGGGATGCCAAAGTAAGAGTCGCCTGAATAATCATTAATGGACCAATTTTGCTCACATAGTTTATTCAATAAACCGTATTTACATTGATTACAGAGTGTAACAAAGTATAAACAACTGAGAAAATGACAGATTGAACAAAAATTCGCTCATAAATAGAAAGCACACCATCTACGTTCCCAGCAAAAAGAAAAGGAATGTCATCAGCAGATTCAACCAGAAGCTCCTTAATTAATTCACACGTTTTTAGTCTAATCGAACTTGGCCTCGCTCCCCAGTCTAAGGCTTTATATTTCCCATCTTAACCACGGATTTCGGGAAATCTCTCCAAAATCTCTCCCTGTCGTCGCTGTAAGACTTGACCAGCTCGGCAAGACGGGGATCACTGAGAAATGCCTTATCAGAATGGAGACACCCTTTCTGCTGTAACAAGTTTTGGTTGTACGATGTATCGAGGACAGCAGCAGTTGGATCCAAAGCAGCAAGCCTAGGGTCGGATTCATTGCTAAGAAGGGGCGGCCAAAATAACTGAAGGCTGCATGTGAAGGTCGGGGCGATGTTGGTATCATTGTAGATCCTTCCCCTGAATATTGCGCACCGTGCGTACCCGGGTGCGCGCGCGCTGGACTGGATGACTAAGTCATTAATTGCGAGCCTTTGATTTGTGAAGGACTTGGTTGTACTAGAGATATAGAGGAAAGGCGATGGAAGAGACAGTTGAGCATCGTCCCTGCTCTCCGTAAAGTCTCTTCTTCCGAGCCAAACTTTCCACCTCGGTCCTCCTAGCTCCGTAGTTGAGTCTCTTCTCCGTATGTGATGTCTCTTGGTCATCTGTATTAATTAGTCCATTCTTTAGAAGTTGGACGGTAATGCGACTAATTTGTACCTGCTGCTGCAACAGATTCTCGGGCAGTGACGGCTAAGATGTCCACACAAGAGACCACAGTGCCTCCACAAGATGCATCAACCGCTGGGTGTAATCTCTCTATCGGAGTGTTGATGTGTCATTCATTGTTACTGTTCGAAATAAACGTAGAAAAACAAATATAGAACACAAAGATTTACGTGGTTCGATCACAAGGTGATCTACGTACACGGGCGAGGCAAAACAAGATTCAACTATAATCAAAGAGAGTACAGTTTTCAGAAGTCGAAAAAACGACTTAACAAAACCTCATGGCTCACAAATATTTCCAAAACGAAAATCTCTATACTTCAATGAAAAAACCTAGCCGCGGTATAAATAGGGCTCCTCAAAAAATTTCCTTGGGGGCTATGCCCCTGAACCCCCCGAAACATTTGTTCACTTGCTTCAGCTTGGGCGGACCGCCATAGAGATTTGTTGATTTGCTCCGGGTTGGGCCAATCGGCCCAACCCTCCGCGTCACGAACTAAATCTCAATTTTTTCTCCACTTTTGGGTCGCACAAAAAATATGTCGGGTCGGGTGATAAACCGGACCGAGTACATAAAATTCAAGACATATTTAACAGTTACAGTTGTTCTTCTTCCTTTTGTTTTGGTCAAGCTAAGGGATATATAAGTTGAGATTGGCAAGATGATCAAAAAGATAAATTGACTACATTCCTTAAAACGTGTCCCTACTATTTATCACACAAAATTGCACGCCCAACTTGGACAGTGTTTCCCGAACAAAAGAAAACTTAAACTGTGTTTAGTCTTCTGCGACTTCAACATTGCTGATGCGGAACTTGAAAATCTTCTTGGAATTGCAGAGCTTCCTCAAGAAGAACCCCCCATTGCCTCCAAGTGTCATTAGTCCACACACCGAGTACACAACCTTGGTCACGATTGCCATAATGACCACCAAGAACGCGGGTGGTATTAAGAACATGACCAACAGACCTGGCATGCCCAGTGGGACTTGGCACGACCACTTCAGCGTTGGCAGCTTCCTCCGTAGTCACCGTGAACACGAGTAGCATCCCAAAGCTGTACAAGAAGTTCGCCGGCTAGACATGTCTGTGAAGTCCATGTAGGAGACGCCAGTACTGATGAGGGTGTACAGCAAGATCCCCACCCAGGGAGTGCCAAACAATTTAGACCATGCGGCGAAAAACTCAGGCGGGATCCCGATATCTGCCATGCCAAAGACCTGGTAAGCGTTGTTGAGCTGGGCCTCGAAGAGCCCGATTGTTGACAGAACTGTGCCAACCTCGATCTAGATCTTAAGCCACTTACTGGTGATCAGGTCGACCCAAACGACGTAGAACCACTTGCTCTGGTCCACGGTGGACAGAGTAATCAAATAAGAGACTAGTAAAATCACCGCCACAAGCAGGGCTAATGGAAAATTCCTCTGTGGCTGCCCCGTTGGTATTTTGATGAATGGAATTTGCTTATGAGGAGAGTGGACAGGCTGAAACTATTGGTTTCCAAAAGACAGTACTTGAAGGTGAGACTGTAAAGTTTCCTCAGGGATCTAAGATGAATGAAAGAGATTAGGCAAAAATCAATCAACTTATGCATATGGACTTCCTTGAAATGGTTCAATTGTGCTGTAAAACGAGTCTCACATTCTGGCTCTCATTAGTTAAAACTCTACTTAGACAAAACTAGCCTATATTTTTTTCATCAAACCTAAAAAAAAAGAATTGATGAACTGGGGAGAAGCTAGAGAACAGATGAAGAAGATGAATAGTAGGTATTTTTGTTGTTTTTTTTTTTTAATTAGGGTGTGGATGAAGTCAATATACATAAGTTGACATGGCACCTGATCATTTATGTGCAGGAGATCCCCCTTAAGTCGCGCAAGGTCCCGTTGGTTCTCAAAACATGAGGCAAGATCGGAGCAATACTTTCAGTTTCTTCCCCGAATCAAACTTGTTTGTTTTAATTTATTTTCACAGGAGTCGCACCAATTTGGTCATCCTCACACCAAATCGATCAGAAAGTTTAGAGAAGCTCGTCAACCCCTCGCGTTTCTTGAATTGGACAGAACCAGCTTTGTTCGGGGGCAGCTTGATTCGCTGATATAATCAAATGCCAAGTCAATAGGCGGGTCGACTACAAGTCAGATTGGTCGATGCATGAATTATCTGCTATTAATAAGGCATGTACGGCCAGTTAATTGAAGTACAATTAATCATGATTTGTTCTTATCTTTGGCGTACGTAATTCCATGTTTCTTTCTTCTTCTATGTTCATGCGAACATCAATGCGGGTTTCCCTCCTTTTGTCTTCTCTACAGTGGTTTTGTTAATTCGGGCAACTACTTCCAATGATATTAATTCCTTGCATGTCCAAAATAAGTAAAAAAAACAATGAAAACACTAATTTATATGCCTAAGACGTCCTCTTATATATCAATTCCAAATTTAGGATTTTTAGCCCTCTTAATTTCAATCTTGTTTTACTGATGATGAATCTTTTGACTTTCAGCAATCCACTAATTTCTTCTGTTCCACTTACATACATCTTGCACTTCACTTAACTTATTGAATAGGTTACACCACTTTCGGAATTACAGAGGAATATGCATATTTTGCTATTGAAACAAGTTGCTTCTATTGAGGTCAATAGCTTCTTCATATTGCTAGAAGCTAAAGCCACGACACACGCTTTTTAGAACAAATAAATAATTTCATAGCACTCAACACAAAATTATCTCACTCTTTAAAGAGCATGAACACTAGGATCATATATGTGGATGCTCACACTTTAATTCGCCCTTCTACAATTATGGCGAACCTGACCAATATTTCCGGTTAACGGCTTTATATTCCCCATCTTGACCATTGATTTCGCGAAATCTTTCCAAAATGTGTTGGCATCTTCGCTGTACGTCCTCACTAGCTCGTCGGTGTTGCCACCACCGAAGAGTGCTTGATCTGATCCAAGAAGACCCTTCTGCTTCAACAAGTTCTTGTAGTACAACGTGTCGAAGCGCGTCGAAGTCGGGTCCAACTTAGCGAGGTTTGAGTCGCTTTCGGATTTGGTGCGGGGGCAGAGGGATTGGAGCTTCTTTGCGAATTTGGGGTGGATGTTCGAGTCGTTATGGGCCCGGTCCTTGAAGGTAAAGCATTGCGCAAACCCTAGAGTGTGTCCACCAGAGAGAACGACTAAGTCTTTGGCGTCTAGGCCTTGTTTTTGGAATGTGCTAGTTAGTGCGTTTAGGTCCATGAATGGAGCCGGAAGGTCCGTGTTGGCGGTCGTCCTGCTCGCTGTGGTTGAGTCTCTTCTTCCAAGCCTTACGTTCCACCATGGCCCTCCAAGCTACATTAAAAAATACCAAGAATCGAAATCATCAACAGTTCATATGTAAATATGAGCTATTACATTGATTAGTTACGTGTATATTCACTAAAAAAAATTCGATGTATGCGCAACCGCTTACCGCAACAACAGAGTCTCGAGCAGCAACTGCCAAAATATCTGCGCAAGAGACCACCGCACGGCCACAAACTTTGTCAACCTCCTCCTTGATTTGATCTATCACTTCGAAACCTCTAGCAGAGTTGTTGTTTGCGCCAGCGAACTTTTCGCTATCGATGGTCGGCGTCGGATCTAGGAGTACCGAAGCATCACAGCCCTGGATGATCAGCCAGAACAATGTTTAATTCAATAGACATACCACACGCAGAAAAACCTATCATCACAATCGGTAATAACAACGTTAGTAATTACAGAAATAGGCAATATGATGTACGTTAACGAAACAGTCATGGAAGTGCAGACGCAGCAAGGAAGCACCCATGCGTCTCTCTTTCTTTACTGCCGCCTCGACAACGCCTCTGATGGTCGGCAAAGCTTGAGGACAAGCGTACTCGTAGTAGTAAGGCGTGAGGCCAGTGTGGTGATAAGGAGTAGAGAAAGCTGTGGCCGCGATGCTCAACAAGAGGACTGCAAGACAACGATTCCTGCCTTTCGATTCCATCCTAGGCTCCAACCGAGGAAATTGATGGGAATTGATAGGACAAATCGCACACGTGAGATTGATTTCAAGTGGGTCTTGTGAAGTCCTGGGGTGGGTACTATGTTCATTTATAGGAGAACAGAAAAGAGCGTGTCGACGATACTCTTCCTGCGTCGGCAATGGAGGACTTGGCCAAAGAGTTCATGGATTAAAGATTACTTGCGGGTGTTCATCAGTCATAGCCATGCATGCAAGAAACAGGCACGTGCTGCTCATTTTTCTCACAATGTAATAGCTAGGGTTACGCGCTTGGCTATGCAAATTTGGCTCAACCATAACTGGAAACTAGTCTATCTCTTAGCTGTAATTCCAAGCAAAAATGAGTGGGAATAGAAAAATGGGAATGCACTCATGGTTGAACAAATCCAAGTCGTGTGCCGGCGGATTACTTTTCAATCTATATATTTCATGCCTTTGGTGGAGAAGTGGTTGCCCTTGGAACTTAATTCTTGTCCAAAACCCGACCGTTCGCATGAAATCAATGGCAAAAAGAAAATTGTGTATGTTACATCGGACTAATTGCGACAGAAAATGACTTTGAAGTTTAATAAGGATGGAGAAATTCATTTACCTGAATGTTGGTTGAAAGATTTTGTCGAACCACTGTCAACTATTTTAGAAGCTTAAAGTTATAAATAGAAGAAGACCACATGTATGTAAATATCATATAAACCTAATTTGCTATGGGATTAGCAACGGAATGTAGAATTTAAGATACGGGGTGCTACGCAAAATAAATTGGGGTAAAAGTCCAACCCGAAATGTTAAGTTAATAGATAGAGAGAGATCACTTGTATAAAAATAGCATACATATCTCATAGTCAGGCGACGTGGAATATTTCATCACCCCTACTTACGTGCAAGTCGAATTAAGAACGACATGTGGAATTTGACGAGCGGGGTGGACGCACACGCAAAATAAACTGGGGCAGAACCCGATTTTGCTACCATGTAAGAAAGTCCACCCAAAATCCTAAGCTAAATTATGTAATAGGAGAAACCACTTGCATAAAAAGAGCATATAAACTTTATAGTCAAGCAATTTGAGATATTTCAATACCTCCTCTCACGTGCAAGTCAGATTAAAAATGACACATAGAATTTGACGAACAAGGTGAACGCACACCCGAAATAAACTGGGGCAAAACCTGATTCTAATATTATAAAATACTTTATAAGATTACTGCCAACTGTTTTAAAAGTTGAAATTTATAAGTAGAAGGATATCACATTTATATAAAGAATACATAAACATAGACAAGCAGTGCTCGTGATATTATAACATGTGTAAAGATTTAATTATCATGACTAATTAACTTTACACGTTTGTTATGTAATCAAGGTGCTTGTGAAAAATTAGTACAATAACCGGAAAAAAGCTGTAAAATGGAAGGACCGTGTCAAAGCAGGCACAGCTAAAAGTGTCCTAATCATATGTCGGATTATCGTGTCCCTGCTGTCTAGCATAAACCTTGTACGTAACAAGAAACCGATTGTCCACCAATTTGTTAAGTTTTAATTGTAGGTTTAGGTAGAATTGAGGGGCCGTCGCAATATCTTAAGTCACGAGTACGACCCATTGACTTGTCGACTGTTGTATCACTAAAGATATCGTTTGGAAGCATCCACGAATTGTCTAGGACAACTAGCGCAAAACCCCTCGATTTTGCCTAGACTCGGTTTATCTATGAGCTAACGTAGTGCTCTTGACTTGATTAGACTCTGTCCAATTTCGGCAAAATCCTGCAGAGGTAATAATTACAGAGTTATTTATGACCTAATGTCTTCGCATGTTCTAGGGTTTTTCGCCCTTATTAGGACTCTTGTTTGGGTTTGCCTATGAATCTAGTTAAAGGTGCAGTCGCTCCAAAAAAAGCTTTTGATTATAATGAAATGAGATTATTCAGTTTTTTAATTGAGATATAACATCTTCTAATTTTGGATAAATTTGTCATAAGTGTACCGATTTTAGATTTTTGATGGTCAGTTTTGGATAAATTTTTCACAAGTGCACCAATTTAGGGTTTTTTGTAATATTAACCCTTTATTATAATGAACTAATATTATGCAGTTTTTTAATTGAGATATGACATCTTCTAGTCTATCATAATTTCTAATTACTTGATTTCTCCTTCCTTTTTGCAACTCGAAGGAATTTTGTTGTCTTGTCTTATCAAGGGAGCATCTTCCATATTCTATAAACATTAGATATCAAAGGCAATATTAAGCTTCCCTAATTGGTATATAAGAGCCTGATTCACATGCATACTAAAAGGTTCACCATCCTATACCCATATTCAGACACTTTTACGTATTAAAATTACCCTGTCGGAGCTCAGAACCTCTTCATCATACCTGTTGGATAGCCAAAATTTGTCTCCATATTTCTCTTCTTTTCCATTTTCTTTTCTGCTTCTTTTTTCATTTTTAAAATTTGCCCCTGCATCTTCTCTCTTCCCTTCTCTCTTTTCTAGGGCTGACCAGTTTCAGAGTGGATCATTTCTCGACCTCAAATCGGGGGATCCGAAGTTGGTCTTGTGACCCCTAGTTCCAAAAAATTAGAACCGAAAACCGAATGAGTCAATTTTGGAATCGCCGATTCCCATCCTGTTCTCTGGTAGGCCAATGTTATGTTTTAAGAAAAAACACAACTCTTAAAATAAAATATAAAAGTTGCACCATTTTGTTACAAAAACATTTGTTCATCAAGTGATTATTTTATTATTTCTTCATGTTAAAGATGGTTCATTCCTTGATGGGTGTAAATTGCATTTTTTTAATTTTCTTTTTCTAACAAAGGATTCAAAACCAATTCAACCCGGGTAGAACCAACCTATCCAGCCTTAGAACAAGGAACCTAACTAATACATGGGCCAATCGAGACAGAAATTTGTGCTAGAAACTGACAACTCTACCTTGATAAGCTTTCTGCAAGATTGCTCTCTCTGCTCCTGAGACATTGAGCCACTTATCACAGAATGTTTAGGCTTCTTGGCCCTTTTTTAGGGTCTTGAGCTGACCTTAGGCTCTCGAGATTCAAATAGACTAACAAATTGGGTTGTAAAAGCTTCCAAATTAAAGGCCCTTCCACATTATTGAGTTTCTTACTTACCACCCCCCTTTATAGGGAATCCTGTGTTTTGATGCCCTTACTCTAGAGAGCTTGTTTTTTAAATGAAACAATAAGCCTATATACGTGTGTATGTGTGTGTACGCAAATCTTCGTAGTCCGCGAGAAAACTAGTCGAAGATCACCTCAAGCGACCTCAGGTGAAAGAAAGTAAATCAATGTTTAAAGGATTTCGCAAAGGAAATTGAACTCAATGGGTTCGATCAGTGGCTTTCCAAACTTTCGGCAAGCACATGAAAATTAACCTTGTTAATATGCAAATCCAACGAGTCCTTGACTTGAAGTTAATGGGTATAGAGCGCATATTTAGAGGGTTAATTTTCAAGTGTGAGTCTCCCCTTCCTTATCAACTATAGCTTGGCATTCAAGGAGGTGGATCATGGGCTTTCCAATAATCTGGGCCTTAAGCCCTCAAGTGAATACGTGGATGGTTAGTGGTCTATGGGTTTATAAGCAATCTGAATCTCAGGCCCACTCATCATCAACCCATCTCAACCCTGTAAAACGGGATGATGCCACTATGGTACTTCTATAGTCATGCAGCTTTAAGAATTATTCTTAACTACAAAGACTGTGTAGCTTTTATGTTACATAATTTACATCGACCTCCACAGATAATATGATTAATTGATTACTTGTTAGAAGTAAAACCACGCATTTCAGCAGGTGAAATAAGTAGGTTCTTGGTTATACAGCCTGTGTCACCAAATATTTATCCGTATTTCATTGGAAAGTCTACTTCCTAAGTTTGCCTTGCTAGTTGCTAGAATTGTTGTAGCTAAGATTTGTTGAAAATTACGCTGGAAATAATTGTATCAATTGCAAAGAAATCAAATTTTGGCATATTGAGTAATTAAGATTAAATTAATTGCCTGGTTGCAAAATCCACTGATTTTCAATTTTCAATGACTTTGTATGAGATTTTAACACAAAATCTCCATATGTTCCTTCTTTGCTGTTGTTTGGAGAAACACTATTGGAGTGGAATAATGTTGAAAGTTAGGTAGGTTATTTGCCTAACGAGGCCAACCACAAAAAAACGTGGAAGGGAAAGGAGTTGTCAAATTTTACTTCCAAAGCTCTCTTGTCGTGCAATGTGTATACAATACTTGTGGAATTCGGAAAGAAAAATGCTAGATGTCTTAAGAATTCTTACTATTATAATTTGCTTTGCGTGAATCCCCGGTCATAGAAAATTTGATTGGGTTTAATTCTAACGCAATTTAAATTTATTAAAACGCTAAATAATGAATTTGTGATCACGCCACGTGTCACAACCACATGAAGACCACTTTTATGTGCTTGTAGATAGATATTAAAAGTGGGATTAACCATCCAAAATAGACAGAACCTTTTATTATTAAAATAAGCTTGAGAGCATAAGAGATGAAGCACAAAATTCAAAACTTTGAAGACAGCAAAGGTAAAACCCTGAAGGAACATTAATTGACTTTCCCACAGCTCTTCCTAATCTGACCGCTTGAGCCGGTGAGCGGGCTGAGGTTACCCATCTTCACCATGGCGTTCGCAAAATCTGTCATGAAAGTAGCCGAATTGCTGCTGTAAGTGTTCACTTGAGCGTCCGTGGAACCACCACTGAACAATTGCTGGTCTGAGTGAAGAAGCCCCTTTTGAATCTGCAAGTTCTTGAAGTAGGCGTTGTCGAAGGACGTCGGGCTCGTGGTGTCGAGAGGAGAGAGATTGTTGTCGCCTCCGGAGCTCGGACAGTTCGCTTTCAGCGAGGTTGCGAACGTGGCATTGATATTGTTCTCGTTGTAAAGCCGGGTTCGGAAAGTTGTGCATCGAGCTTGACCAATCGTGTGCGACCCTGTTAAATAATCGAACAATTTGTAAATTGATCTTAGTTTATCGATCGAACCTTACTATAAATTCTTTATTAAAAGGTGCCAAAAAAAAAATAATGACCTGAGAGTGCCACCATTTCTTTGGCGGTGAAGCCTTTGTTAGAGAAGGCAGTGATGAGGCCGCTAAGGCTCAAAGTTGGGGCAGGGATGTTGCTATTAGCAGCACTTTGGCTTGCGGTGGTTGAATCTCTTCTTCCCAGCAAGACTGTCCAACTTGGGCCACCTAACTAAAATTTTAAATAAATAAAATAAATCCATACGTGTTAGTATCAATATAGCACGGGGAACATAACATGTGATTTTTTTTCTTCACAATTGATCGCTAGAATTGAGAAGAAAACGTGCACTTACGGCAACGACGGAATCTCGTGCAGCGACTGCCAAGATGTCAGCGCAGGACACGACCCCAGGGCACTTGCTCTCCACTTGGGACTTGATATTGTCGATCACATCCAATCCCCGAATGGAATTGGCATTCGGGCCGGCGTTCTGCTCCCCAGTGAAGTTCGCGGTGTCGTCCAACAAAATTGACGCGTCGCATCCCTGTTTCATATTTTGCACCACGCATTGTTAATCAATCAAATCGATCCGATTGGAGTTCATTAGATTCAACGGTGGAAGTGCAAACAAGTTAAGTGCTATAACTTTTCCTGAACGTAGAGTATGAACATTGATTAATTTCCCTTATCCCTTTCCCCCCTTTTTGTCCCCCATTATGAACGCCTAGAGACACCAGTTTTGACGGGGCGACACTAAATAGGAAGCTCTCCAACAACTTTCTCGTGCCTTTTGACTTTGCTTCGTGCTGTCTAATGCATCCAATAATTGTTGTGTTAGGAGCAAACCCAAGCCTGGCAGGACAAAATGATTGTGCTCTTGTGTATGAGAGAGGGAGAGATCCTCAAGTGTTCTTTAAATCAAGGTTTGACGTCGACATGGAGCGTTCTTCATTATTTAACAGAGGGAGACACCGACTTCTTGTTTTTTTCTAGAATTAGCCTGAGTTTGGTCTTCTGGAATGACCAATTATATATTGATTAAATCGAAAATCTAGACTATTTCCAACCTTCACAGGGAAAAAAAAAAGCAACCCATTAATTTAATCGAGAGTTTGTAAACATATCATATTTATTATTAAAAAAAACGACCGGGTTTTGAATATCAAGATCCAAATGGAGACACGTTGAATGGAGAAAGGTCCATTAGAATACGGGTAACTCTTAAATTTTGTACAAAGAACATGACGAGGATAAAAAAGGAAGGTACACTAAAATGATTAGTAATTTAGATTGACACTCTAAATTCGCGTGGAAGTAAACTAATGAGGCCATGCACAAGGCGCGATTTGCTTGTTCAAGCTCTAATATGATTTTAGAATGCCATTGGATTAACAAATTTCATTAAAAATGATATCTTACCATAAAATAACATTTTTAAATGTAGAAAAGTATGGCAACCACAGTGACGGTGATCAAAATATGATTAAAACCTAATGAAAAAGACTGATTGGTTTGCCAAATGTGATAACTGAGTAAAGTCAACCATCAACATGTAAAGCCATGGCCGTCTCTCTCTCTCTCTCTTTTTGCCAGCTCCAACGTTTAGGACTTTTGCATGATGTGATTCATCGAGTTCATTGGATTTAAACCAGGAAGTTAATCGCACACTCATCTGATAAACAACATAGTTTTTGTAATAAAAGAAAATTAGAACATACACTGTCGGCCCAAAGAAAACTTTACATAACCATTCTTGTCCACCCTTGATTTGATGATCCTAATTACCAAATCTCTCGCTAACCGCCAAATTAAGGGTGGATAAGGCCATTTGTGGAAAAATAACTTTACGGTGGTAGTGTATGCTAAAAATACTCAAGAAAAGTTTTCTTTTTGAACTACCAAAAAAAAATTTCTTGTTCTAATAAACAGAATGGATTATTAATAAAATAAACTCACAAAAAATGCATGGCACAACAAGATATCATAAAGGGTCGGGCTCAACTAATTTAATATGTGAACCTTCTACCTACTGTTTGGTTAGTGAAAAAGAGAGTACGTAAGTTGCGTAGAAGCGAATCTAATCATTCTTTTGACTATGGGGTTGATTGGAACGTTTCACATGCACAAGCACAAAGATGCATCATGCATGCACACTTGCATGCTGCTTGAATGAAAAAGAAAAACAAAGACAAGTATCAATCGGAAAGAGAGGAAAGACTCAGATCAAAGGGACTTGCATTGACGAAGCAATCGTGGAAATGAAGGCGGAGCAGCGAGGCCCCCATGCGAGCCTCGCTCGAGATGGCAGAGCTCACGCCGGATTTAATGGTGGAGAGGGCGCTGGGGCAGGATGTGGAGTAGAAAGTACTGGACAGCTGAGCAGAAGCTGTTCCAAGAAGGAAACACAGTAACAAAAAGAACGCGGGTTTGACAGAAGAGCTCTCGCAACCCATCGCTCAGTGAAGAAGAAGATGGAGAAAAACGAAGGAGGAGGAGAAGCACAAGCTTGATATGGCTGTGCGTGTAGTGTGTTTGTGGGTGTGTTGCAATTGAATGAACTCGGGTGTATTTATACAAGAATTTCACTTTGCTTTGTTATGCTTTCTCTTTCTTCTCAAGTCAACGGCATCGGATGTGAACATCTATAATATAAGAATTTATTAGTTTGAAAAAACAAGTTCAACAAAAAAGTGCATGAACATATACATGTAGCCCGATCATGCGTAGTCTGGACTAATAAGCTTTCTATTTGCAGACAAATCCGAAGCTTGCCGTATAGGAGTTTTTCGCCCGACAGATAACCATAGGACTGTATCATCCTGTCAATTCTAAGCAAATATAACACAACCTATCGTCATATCGGATTCTAGTAGTAGTTTCCTTATGAGATATGAAGCCAAAAATCTCCTCACTTTCAGCTAGAGTTACTTTCCTTCTATCCTAAAACTGCTTTTGGACTTTCAAGAAGATTCATGCGAATTGAAGAAGATGGCTAATTTTGAAAAGTATGAATATATAGGTCCAATTGCATGTGTTTTTTATTTTATTTTAATGGATCAATATCGAGAAGTTGGGACATGTGTTGGTTTTTTGACTCGCTCTCTATGTTTATTTTCTAGTGTCCAAATTTTCATTTTTGGTCTTGAACTCGCGTATATTTTTTCAAGAAATCCTCAAATCGTCAATTTGTTTAGTGAAGTTCAATAACTTGCATAACTTTTCTAATAAACCCCATCCGCCTCGAAAGCCGGCAAGAGTCAGATGTAGAAAGCTCGAGGGCTGTGTTCATGTTTAGAAATTTCACTACTCAAGTCCCAATTGTGTGGAACTTATTTTTGAAGTTTCTAGTCTCGGGCGGCGCAAATTGTCCAATCAGTCCTCAACCTACTGTACAGATGCAAATTCAGTCATAAACTTTTAAATTTTGCCAATTTAGTCCTAAACCTTTGCACGAAATTCCAATGTATTCTTTCCGGCCATTTTCACTGGAAATCACTTAAAGAAATGTACAAATTCAAGGCCTAAAGTGAAATTTTAACTCAACGGTACACACTCCTTTTTCCCAATTAACATTTATAGTATACTTCTTTTCAAAACAAAGCCCACCTATGTCACCAGAAACAGCAAAAAATGAAGAAATTAGTTCAGAAGTTGTCAAAGTTGGATTTCGTCTGGAGAGATATTGACTATTAGGGAAATTTGCCACATCCTTGCGAAGGTTCGCCATCTCCATTTGATGAAACATTGACTTTCACCAACAAAGACAAGCGGATTACGCCATCTAGCATGCAATTATGGTCTGTCCCGTCCTTAAAGACTTTGTAAGGCTCAATTGATTGCATGCATGGTATACTTTGGAACTTGCTGCATGACGACCATTCCTCTTTGTTGAACTCGTAAATATAAGATATGGTTTCCATATATATATAAATGAAATTCTGTACATATTGGACTGCAATGTCCTAACGATCGCATCTTGTTCTAGCCGAGATTTGAAAAAAAAAATTGCAGAAAATTGAATTAGAAATAGTGTGGTAAACTCTTCTAGCATACAAAAGTATGACCCGGTTGTTTAGATACATATATCATCCTACAGTCCACATCCCGGTGTAGGTTAGTCGTAATATTTTATTTATTGTAGCTAAGTCATGCCGAAACATTCCGTAGTCCTATAATATTCATTTAGAATAAAGATGCGCAAAGCCCATCTTAGATAGAATAAACTCCAGACCCATGGAACATCCCACTAACCTCATGGACTACAAATGACGAGAGCCAAAACTCAGACGGATTGGTCAAAACACGGAGCTAATAACACTTGGCGGTGTGGAGATTCGAAATCATCTAGTGCATCTAATTCGGATAAGCATCAATTATACTTCTGAATTAATAAGTCAATCCCTTGGGTTAGTCGGTGATATTTCTTTGCGTGCATCATTTTTCAAACATTCGCTGTGTGAATGAAATTCACATCAGGAATCTAATACGGTCAACATTTCGAGTGATTACTAATCATACATATTCTCCTTTATAGTCCTTTTGATTAGCTTACAAGCAAATTAACTAATTCGTCAGACAAAATGAATTTCGTGGCAATATCGAATGAGTGCGTGCCAGTTTTTCTCTGCTCATTCAATTTTTAGGATAAAATATACTCGATCACACTTCATTATTCACTGAATGTAGCTGTCTTGCACGATGTTGACTCACTCGGTTGGATAAGGATAATCACACCAAAAAATGTAAAAAAATTTCTCGTTGAATACCGATATCCCTAGCTATTTTTCGTCATACAAATACCTCAAACTCGTGCCAATTTCTAGAAAATAACTTCCGTTTGTACGGCCGTTAAAAACCCCACATGGCAGCGTGTGTGCCCGTTAGAAATCTGAAATGGCAGTATGCATCCATTATTACGTCAGTTCCGTTTGTCTGGCGTTTTCCACAAATACTACCATTTTGCATTTTTTAATGACCGTCATGGACAGAGGCCTCGCGGAAGGTAACTTTAGGTCATTGATACAAGTTTGGAGGTATTAATGAGACGAAAAATAAAAGTTTAGGGTATCAACGTGTCCCGAGGACCTCTTCCAAGATCGTGTCAGAGAAAATTCAGGTCGTTTACTAATTAAAAGATTGGCCTTTTGGACTGAGTAAATTAGTTGGAAACCTTCAAATGGAAAAAAATTAGCTGTGATTAAATGTCGATCACTCGTTCATATCTGAAAAAAAGACAAGAAAGCTTTCAATAGCTAATGATCATATGTGGTCGCGGCCGATCGGAATATGATCTGAAAGTGGTGGAGGATGAAATGTCTTTTCCACGGGACCCTCTTTCTGCTCAATTTCTTAAAGTGCCTTCATTGGGATTTTGTCGTGAAGGAGCAATACTTTTCATGCATCCTATTCAAACATGAGATCTATGCATGCGAATCATGATTTCTCCGCTTGATGTTTCCTAATTATTGAGATTACAACATCTCGTTCGATGTGATTGTAAAAACTTAAAGTTGACTAGTTACGAACCCAACCATATATATTTACTTCACGAGCCTCCATTGCGTTATTTTCACATAATCTACGGACCAAAATGAATATATGTGCTAGTTTATGGATTACATTGAGCAAATTAAACGTCTAGAGCTCGACATTGAACATTGGGCTAAAATTTATTGACCACATTAAACAAATTAAAAGTTCGAGGATGACATTATATATTAGACCAAAGTTTATGGATCATTTGCGTCGTTTTCTCAAAATTTTATATTGAGAAACAAAGTGTTGAGTGATAGACTTGCCAAATGAAGTTCCAACTTACATTTCAAGAAGTAAGTTGAATTGAGGTTATCCAAGATGGTCAACCTCATATCAAAGGTTAACCCAAGGTCACCGAAGGCCCCCCGAAAAAAAAAACCCACAAATGCCTATGCTTTGGAGTCAAAGGGAATCAGTAGAATTTTCTCTTCAAGTGAAATAAAAAACATTCCTGCTAGTTTTTATATTAGAGCTGCCCCATTTAGTATTTATGCTTTCATCGTTAATATAAATGCATATGTGTCTGTCACTGCCACTTAATTAAAATGGAACTACCAATTTCGGTTCCCGCAATGGTTTTATTCGATATTTTATAACTTTCTTTTTTTGGTCGATGATATTTTATAACTAGAATGCCTATTTTTTTCGATCCAGTTTTTCCACTAATGTGAGCCCCGGTTAGGTTCAGGAATGACACACTTTTTTGTCTTGAGGGGACACGAGAAGGGACTAATGAGGGAGGAGAGAGACAAGCGGGCAATGAAGGCCCTTGTGCGTAAATGCCGATTGTGACTTCGTTGGATGATCGACAGCAGCAGCCACAAGCGATTGGACAAGGGGAGAGAGAGAAAAAGAAAAACGAAATTAAAATTTTCCTAAAATGAATATATTTGAGGGTAACGTGAAGCGAATCAGACATTTTTTTTAATGGAGATCGTAGATAAGACCTGTACATGAATATATCCCTCTCCCAGTATTAGATTTCACGGTATAATGCCAAAATTGAACGTCATGAACTTCTAGCAAAAATTAGATCGATCTATTTGAACGAAGGCCATTGAGCGCAAATGCCGACTGTGACTTCATTAGATGATTGACGGCGGCGGCCACAAGCGATTGGACAAGGGGAGAGCGAGAAAGAGTAAATTAAAATTTTCCGAAAATGAGTATTTTGGGGTAACGTGAAGTGAATCAAACAGTTTTTTTAATGGAGATTGTAGATTAGAACTGTACATGAATATACCCCCTCACCCACTATTAGATTTCACGGGACAATGCCGAAATTGAATGTCATGAACTTCCAGCAATAATTAGATCAGATCAATCTATTTGAATGTGAGGTCGAACAATCTCACTAGGGATAACCTTTAAGCCCAACTGGTGGAAGTGTTTTTCAATCGCAATCCGGTATTTTCGCATCACAATTTCAACGGTCAGTTCCATGCTTGGATGTCAACTTCTGGGACAAACGCTAGGGACGAAACTTGGACAAGTGCAACGGAATGATCTTACTATCAAAATGATCCATCTCGAAACAAACCAAAGTTTTAGGTGAAGAGACTCGTTTTTCTTATGCATTCCGAAAGTTGACTTTGACCCAGCACATGCAATATAAGACAATTTGATCATGCAAATGTCAAGCGGGGTTTGGCAAGGTTGGTTCACAAAACACAGCCACCGAAAGTTAAAAGCTAGAAGAGCCAAAATAGTAGTCTCGCACCACGTGTTGACCAAACTGGGGTGGGATTTTGCCTTTGCCAAAAGGGTTTCGAGCATAGCAGAATAGCACTTCCAGAAGGAGTCCTAAACCTAAACTCGAAGCATAATCGAGTCTTAAAATGTTTCTTTCATAAAATTGTGTCTTAAAACTTTGGATAAATGTATGCTCGGACAAGCCCCCTTATTAACAGCATCGGCTAGATAAGCCGAATTAGAAGTTTTAAGGACTCAATTGCATAGGACCATGTTATGATTATCCCTATGTTTGTTGGGGAAATTATCCTATCAGTCCTAAACT